TTTAACCATTTAAAATACTAAATTTATTAGTTTGATCAATTTAATATATATATATATATATATATATATATATATATATATATATATATATATATATATATATATATATATATATATATAAAAGATATGAAAGTTAGGAACAATACCTGACCAGGGTACTGTTCCTTAGGTTACTTAGCATACCTGGGTTAGTTTAATCCCACATTCCATTGCCACTTTTTACGACCTTCTACATCCGGTTCCTTCTACATCCATCCTTTCACAACTTCATTTTCCTCTCCCAGACTGATTTTGACTGCTTTTATCGACTCTTCCTCTCTTTCTCGCTGTCTTTCCTTCTCCCACCGTCATTATCTCGGCTTCTCCATGGATGCTCTGCGTTTTCTAGGTCGTCTTTCGGCGCAGTGGAGTCGGACACGGTTAGGTTGTCCCTTCCGTTTGTCATCTCATGATTGTAGGTATGTCTCTTGGTTTCGTCTAATCAATCAGTAGGAAATCAACGACGGTAAGGCAGTGATTGTTACCTGCGATGATAGAAGCAGCGGCGGCAGTAGATGGAGGTCGTTGGCGGCTGCAGCAGCAACTACAGCAGTGGTGATCCACATTTTTCTGTGGTTTCGTCTAATCTAATTCTTTTCTTCTTCCTTTCTCATCACCGCTTTCTTTCTCTTCCCACCCCTATCACACCAGACCAAGTGGTCGTTCGTTGCCACCATCGTTGAAGAAGGCCATTTGCTTCTCGGTCCTTCTCCACCGTCTTATCTCCCCTTTGAGATATCCATCACCGCCAACTGAAATTTGTTCTCACTTTTGTCACATTTTCCAGAAAAGTCATCCACTACCATCATGTATCGATTCAATCGTTAGTGTTTTGATTGGTGAAGCTTAAAGACCTGTTGAGGCCTTTAAGGCGGCGGCTGCAAAGAGTCCTATGGCTGAAGCTTGTTTGTTTCAAATAGGGAAGTTGATTTTTGACATACGGAAACCCGATTACTAAAAATTGAAATGGAATGTTGAATTCGAGGTTGTAGATGGACAATACTTAATCTTTGTTTGAGAGGTTCTATCATCCAGGTTATTATGATATTCATTATTCTTTTTCCAATTTAAATTTACTAATGTGTTAGTGGAATATAGGGGAATCAAAGCAGGTTGTTCCCTATCAATCATTGAAGTGAGTGTCGGTTGTCAATTTGCATGTTGTATACATGTATGTACCTATCTACAAACTGGTTATTATATTTTGGTGTAAAACTAATTTATCTACCAATATTATACATAATTTATATATTTCTTTTGTTACCCCTATCTACTTAAAAGAAAATTAATATGACATATGAATTTGGTGGCTGCTGGAACATCCTCTAGCCTGGTGAAGCTCTGAGAGCTAGAAGAGACAAAGGGCATTTATGACTTTTAATGTAATCATCTCAAGTTTGTAGCACTTTTTTCACAACTCATACGAGTTTTTTGTCCATTCAGCTCTTGGTGGCTCTCAAAGTGCGTTACCCACAACGAATTACTATCTTAAGAGGAAACCATGAAAGTAGGCAGGTATATTTTTTTAGTGTAGTTTTAATTTATTATTCATTTAAATGTGTATTATTTGATATAAAATATATCAAATAACATAAGTTATAATGTTTCAAGTTTATGGGTTTTACGATAATGCCTAAGAAAGTGAGTTCCTTCACTCTTTTAATCATCTTTTTTACATTTTTTTTTGTAGATATGGTAATGCTAGCGTGTGGAAGACATTTACAGATCCATTTGACTACTTTCCACCCATTGCATTGGTTAGTAAAATTACGATTTTACCATTCTATCCAAACAATGATGCTGGATAAAAATTACTGTTTAATTGTTTATTTGTTTACTTTTTAATTTAAATCGGAAACATTCCCTTATTCTATTTTGTTAACTAGGTTAGTAAATGACCGTTTTATCCTTTTGTCGAAGTAATGATGCATTGGTTAGTAAAATCACGATTTTACCCTTCTGTCCAAACAATGATACCGGATAAAAATTATTGTTTAATTTTTTATTCAGGAACTTTTAAATATAAATCAGAAACATTCCCTTATTTTATTTCGTTAATATTTTCTCTTGATAAATGATCATTTTACCCTTCTGGCCAAACAATAATATCGGATAAAAATTATTGTTTAATTGTTGATTTAGGAACTTTTAAATATAAATCGGAAACATTCTCTTATTTTATTTTGTTAACTTGATTGGAACAACTCGGCCTGAGGTATACATCTAAAAACTTCTGTGTGTATCCACGTAGGCCCACAATTTTTTTATTGATTGTCCAGGCAACAGGGGTACGATGAGTTACATTTCACCCAGATGGAAGAACACTCTTTTCTGGTTTAAACAACACTTTAAAGTTTCTATTTTCTTTTTTTCATTTTACATTAGATTTTATAGTTTGCTTTTTGAAAACTATAATTCTAAAGGCACTCTCAAAGGCCTTGATAGAGGATGAATTAGTTTACCTAAGAGCTCAGTTTATGCTTTTGGAACCAAACTTGACATGTTTAGAATGGTAAACAGATCAGAACAGAAATAATAATAATAATAATAATAATAATAATAATAATAATAATAATAATAATATAAATATCCCGATGCAGCTGGGTGTTGCCACTCAACCTCACCACCACCAACAACAACAACAACAATTGTTTTTTGAGGTAATTCTTCTGCGGATAATTTTTAATCATTATCTTGCGTTTAGGGAGCAAAAAAGAGCTTAGTTATGTCATATATGATCTTGAATTCTGCAAAAACTCAGGGCTAACTAAATACAAAAAATTAGTAACATACTTTTTTATTTATTTATTTGTTTTTTTTTTATTATAGGATCCTATTTCCATTTTGTTCTATTACAAGATTCTTTTTCTTATTATGTTTTGAGAATCCTATTCAAACTATTGCAATGAAAATTGCTTTCTTTTTTATGACATTATTTTAATTGGATAGATTTTTCAAAGCACAATGTTGAAATAGAAAGAAATGAAAGTATTGATATAATAGAAAAAATATTAAGGAAAGTACATTAATATTTATTACATTTAACAGTTTAATTATTTTATTATGCAGAGAAAAAGGAAAGCGGTGAAATCACTCAGAGATTTTACTTTTAAGCACTTTAAGTCGGCAAATGCAAAAACCAGATGCCGGCAAATGCAAAAACCAAAACGAGATGCGTACTTTTGAAAATTTATGTTTTTGCTATTTAATCATCATTTGTATGCCTTTGCTATGTAGTCTATATGAATAACTTCCACATATTCAACATTTAGCAATGTACACATTTAACAAAAAAAAATAAGACCATTCCAACCCATGCAAAAACTAGATTTTTTTCATTTATGTATAAGTTATTAGAACTTATTTGTGTATTGTTTTTGTATTATAATTAATTGTAGGTCCAACAACAGGTTATTGAAATTGTCATTTATATAGCTTCTACAACATCAAAGTTGGCATAAAAAATCTTTTCTACTTTGTATATCAGGTAATTACACAGAATAGCAACATACTTTAATTTGGATACCAATTTATGCAATGTACTTCCTTATTTGTCTCCGAAAACAAACACATTCTGTCTCGCGCAACGCACGGGTAACCCCTCTAGTTGTGTATAAACTTTATAAACAAAAAGTTTTTTATATTAAATTATAAAAAAGAATGCTTATTAATTATATTATATAGTGAAAACATAAAAGTAGATATGTTGTATAAATTAATATTGAATAATAATATTAATGATTTGGTCATTTTTTCTATGCATAAGACTGCATACGGAACCGACCCTAAAACAAAAGTGAGGTATACATATAAAGTTAGCCCTGGCAATCGTGTCGTGTTCGGGTTGGCGTGTCGCGGGTTGGTGGGTTGGCGGGTCAAAATATGTCAACCCAAACACGACCCATTAAAATATACAGGTCACGGATTGTCAGGTCACAAGTTGGCGGGTTTGGAACATAACCCATATATGACCCACCAACCCATTTATTTATACGGATTCACAAGTTGGTGGGTTCGTGGGTCCAAATTTTAGATATTTAAGTCTTAAACATCCAAATGAAAAATAAAATCATTCATAAAAACATGTTACAGACTCAGCCTTATAGGTCACGATTTATAACCTTAGACCATCCACCACGAGTAATAATATCAAAACAATCAAATGGTCTATGAATAAATGGTATATATATTATATAATACTCATTAAATATTAATACTTGATACATAAATACATTTAAAAATATAATAATTTTTTTATTAAAAATATAAACGGATTGGCGGGTCAACCCATTTATTTTTTAAGAAACCCATATATGACTCGTTTAATAAATGGGTTGGCGGGTTGATGGGTTAGTGGGTTGGCGTGCTGATAAACTCAACCCAAACCCATTTATTTCGTGTCGTGTCATGGATCGTATCGCGTGTCGTGTTGAGAATTGACAGCCCTATATAAAGTGTTACAATTTTACGGCATGGGAAAAAAATATACACTTTTAAATGTTGTCCTTCATGCATAAAAATATATATTGTGGTTGGTTTGGTATCACACTACTATGACAAAAAATTTCAAATCTTTTGTGGATTGAGACAAAAAATGATTTGAAATTGTAAAAATATGGTAAGTGCGGTATTACATCTGCCAAGCCTAACTATGTAAGTTTTAATATCTTGCCCGCCAATCAAGGGCTTAATAACTGCAAAATAGATCGATGGAGTAACTTGCTAAATATAGAAAGATCTTTAATTAAAAGAGATGATTTTTCGGAATTCAAATAATCAGGAAACCACTCTTCCTCAGCACTCAATCACAATCCTATTTAAAGCAGCCAATCTGCACACAAACCCCATTCACATATCTCATCACATCATTAAACAAACATTTTGCTCCTGTACTTCTAGTTCTTGATACCTGGGTGTCATCCAAATCAACGTTTTTACCTAAAGAAACGACTAATAATCTGATGGAAGACTCTAAATGTGCTGCATTGATGCGCGACTGGAGGGCTTACTTACGAGGTGAAAATGGAGATATATTTGAGATCATCAAGAGAGCGATCATAGTGGCGGCTTCTGATCAACCAACGGAGTTCCAAAGTAGAAGACACAAGATTGCTGAGATTCTCTTCTCCGATGAGTTGATCAAGCACTACGAATGTGATAAGTATCAGAAACAGAGCCCAAAGGTAACTCATGAAATGGAAGATGAAACAAAACTAGTTTCAGAGGTGTTAAGCAGCTCTGTTCTGTGTAAGGAAGAAGTCTGGGAACGGAACAACAGCCATGGAAAGCCACAGATGGAGAAGCAAATCGCACCCACCTGCAAACAGCAACGGACGATGGCGAAGTGGAATACAGAAACGAAGTTCCAAATTCAAAAGGGTTTAGTGACTTCTGAAGAAAAATTAGTTGACGATCTTGGGGATAATGAGGGAGTTGCTGAGGTGTTGAAGATCAAGAAGATTCTTGACAAGAGCGGAGATGAATCTCAATCTGAGTTGGTAGTGTGTGAGTTATTAAAGATGCTTCAGTCCATGGAGTTATCCATGAAAACTCTGAAGGCAACGATGATCGGGAGAACCGTCAGTGCTCTTAAAAAGCATTCATCAGAGAAAGTTTGCCGGATTGCAGCGACACTCATGAAATCATGGAAACGCAAAGTGGATGAATGGCTCAAGAAAGAATCAAACGATGTCAAACTAACGTCATCCCAGCAAGTAAAGCCAACGAATCTGAATATGAATACGGAGAGGAAGTTGGAAGATTCAAAAAAAGTTTCAAAGATTGGAAATGGCGGAGTAATGGATTTGTTGGAGAGACTGGAAGCAGCAAATAGAAAACTGCAAGAAGGGTTTGAGATAGTAGAAAACATGCACAAGAAGCGACGAATACAAATGACAAGGTCCATGAACACAATAAAAGAAAGCTCTATGGGCGGTGCTTACTGTTTTCCACAGTTGTTGAATTAACAATTTCATTAGAGATTGATTCTTTGAATTTTCAGAACATGCTTAATGTATATATATATATAGTAAGATAGTGATGTCATTTTCAAGTATATATCAATGAACTAATGTTCTTCTAAGGATTGTATCTGGTTTTGAATTTGCATGTGGTTTTCTTAGACAAAATTGCAAAAATGGTCCCTGTGTTTGGCAAAATTATGCGACTTTGATCCAAAACGATACTTTGATGCACCACTGGTCCAAAATTGGATTTTTCCATTGTTTTTGGTCCCTCCCATTCACTTCCGTCCATATACTCCGTTACATGCAATAAAGACCGGGGTATTTTCGTCTTTCCACCTCCATATCATCGATTACCGCCATATTGAATGATATACACAGTTAATGACCCTTCACTCTACGCACTAAACCCAACTTGTTGATCGAAAACCCTAATCGTTCATTGAAATCTTGCATTTGATCATCAACCGCAATCGTAAGTTTGAATCCACGAGTATGGTCCAAATGTGGGAAATCAGGCCAAGAAATCAGTGTTTTGATGCAATCCGAATTTACGGTAACGTACTCTGTTTCTTACATATTTCTTTGAAACAAAAAAAAAATCTTTTACAATCCATATAAAGTAATGTTTTTTTGGTTTGGTTCATGATTTTTACAGAAGGATATCCCACGATGTTCACTATTGAGCTCCATCATGGAGGGAGGTTCACAAAATTCCCAGGGATAAGCTACATTGAAGGAAAATTAGACCACATTGACTTGGTAGACATGGATGAGTTCTCTGTGCATGAGTTGGACGAGGTGATGCTGAAGCTTGGTTATGATGTACCACCAGTCATTTACTACCACTATCAATTGCCAAATGGAGATTTGGAGTTTGGTCTTAGAGCTCTAGGGAATGATATTGATGTACTTAGTCTTGCACAGTACATTGAACATCATAAGATCATCAAGGTATACACTGAACATAATGAAACTAAGTTACTTACATACTTTATGTCTCCAAGAGTTAAACCTAGGGTCATAATTGAGGAAATAGCAGATGATGTGCCCACTGCAACTGTTGGTGATCAAGATGTCCCAAATCTTGAATTGTGTTTAGTAAGATATGAGACACCCGAATACAATTCAAATAAGAGATTGAGGTTAGTTGATGGGAGTCAATCATGTAGTAAGAAATTGTGTTTCAACTTGGAACACACTGCAACTGTTGGTGATCAAGATGCACATGTTGAAATTGGTAATGAAGGTGCAAATATTAGTGAGCAAGGTGCAACTGTTAGTGGTCAAGATACACATGTTGAAATTGGTAATGAAGGAGCAAATGTTAGTGATCAAGGTGCAGCTGTTGGTGATCAAGATACAGGAGTTCATGATCAAGGTGCAAATGTTGGTGACCAAGAAGTAAATACAAGAGAGTTTGATACCTTTGATGACCAACCATTTCAATTTGAAGACTTTGATCCTTTCTTTGATCAATATACTTTTAATGATGGTAATGATCAGAGTATGGGTGTTGGTGCAAAACTTGGCACAGGACTAGGGGAAGTTCAATTTGAAAGTGAGGGAGTTTGTGAAGGACTTGGTGAAGGAGGTAGTGAAGGGGGTAGTGAAGGGAGTGAGGAAGACAGTGACTTTCTTGAAGATGAAGAAAACTATGTAAGTGATATTGAGGTGGACATGAGTGATTTCTATATGAATGTTGATCTAGATGTTGAATATGTTGACAGAGGAAAAGGTGTTGAGACTGAAAATGAAGTTGTTGATACAGAAGATGTTGAAGATGTTGAAGTAATTGATAATGATGAATGGGACTCATTAGGTGAAGATAGTGATGATGAAAGAAGGAAAGCAATATTAAAACAGATGGTGAAGGAGAAGAAGTGCTCTCTTGGTGAAGTCCATACAGTTACTTTTCAAGTGGGTCAAAAGTATAAAAGTAAAAAGGAAATTAAGGACAAAGTCAACAAACTTGCCATTGAGACTAGAAGGAATCTTGGCTTCAAGAAAAACGACAAAACAAGGCTTAGGGTTGTGTGTAAAGGTAATGTACCTAATGTAAATGCAAGTGGGGTAGGTAAGGGCAATAAATTAAATTGTTCTTGGTCAATGCAGACTTCACGGTCAAAAGATAGTGATTATTGGTATGTGAAAACTTTACTGGACAAACATACTTGTGTTCAAACTAGAAAACTTAGGGCTTGCACTGCGAAGTATATATCTGCAGAAATCTTAGACATGGTCGAGTCTAACCCTACAGTACCCCTTCGAAGCATTCAAGAGCAAGTTCAGAAGAGGCTTCAAGTTGGTGTGTCCATACACAAAGTACAGAGAGCAAAAGCAACAGCTACAAAGCAAGTGAGTGGTGACTACACAAAGCAATACGAGGTGTTAAGAGATTATCTTATGGAACTACAAGCAACTAATGTGGGTACAACTGTGAAGCTTGAGGTTGTTAATGAGCCTAACAGTACTAGAGAAACAAGGCAGTTTAAAAGGGTGTATATTTGCTTAGGGGCATTAAAGAAAGGGTTTAAAGCAGGTTTAAGAGATATTCTGGGACTAGATGGTGCTTTTATGAAAGGACCCTTTCCAGGCCAAGTACTCACAGCAGTTGGATTGGATTCAAACAACGGCATATACCCACTTGCATATGCCATTGTTGAGACTGAAAATATGAGTAGCTGGAAATGGTTTCTAGAATGCTTGGGAGATGACTTAGAGTTGTACTCAAATTCTAACTTTACTTTCATGAGTGATAGACAAAAGGTACTATTTTCTTCTTTTTGTATTACTAATAGTTTATTTGTATATGATTGTTGCAATGATTATGTGAAATAATCCTTTACAGGGACTCTTACCTGCTATTGCACAACTATACCCATAGGCTGAGCATCGATTCTGTCTAAGACATATTTATGAGAACATGAGGAAAAAATGGAAAACAAAAGAGTATAAAGATCACTTATGGCAGTGTGCAATAGCAACCACAGTACCAGAATTTGAACACTACATGAATGAACTTAACAAGTTTGATAAGGATGCTTTTGAGTGGTTGAAGAAAATCCCCCCTCACCATTGGGCCAGAAGCCACTTTTCAGGTTACATTCCCTAACTTAGGTGAAGCTTTACTAGTGCTCATTGTATATGGTTTAGTTCATATAATTTTCTTGTTTAATACAGGCAGAGCAGGATCAGATATATTGCTCAACAATTTATGTGAGGTTTTCAACAGTAAGCTTATTCATGGTAGGAATAAGCCCATCATAAGTTGTCTTGAGTACATCAGGCAGTACCTTATGAAGAGGATTTGCAATGTGAAGAAAGTGATGTCCAAAGCTCCAGGTCCACTCACTCCAACAGCATCAAAGTTACTTGAGAGAAATAGGGAAGCTTCAGTCCAATATAGAGCTAGATGGAATGGGACTGCAAAGTATGAAGTTTATGGTCCTTGGCATGACCAGCATGTGGTTGACATGACAAATATGTCATGTACATGTAGAAGGTGGGAATTGAATGGGATTCCATGCAGGCATGCCATAGCTACAATACATGAAATGGCTGATAGTGGAGACAAAGTTGGGGAGCTTTACACTTATGTCAACAAAGTGTATTGGCTTCAAACATGGAATGAAGCTTACTCTTACACTGTGGACCCTATAAAGGGTAGAGCCATGTGGCCAAAAAGTACCTGTCCATTTCAATTAACACCACCACCACATCACAATCAACCTGGGAGACCTAAGACCAAGAGAAAGAGAAGTGCAGATGAAAAATATGATAAACAGATGCAAAATCATGGTGCAGGTGAACCTGAAAAACTTACCAGAAAGTTTGTTAGTGTTAGGTGTGGGAAATGCAACAATAGGGGGCATAACTCAAGGACGTGCAAGGGTCAAGGTGGGAATGCAGGAAGCAGTCAAGGAGGGAATGCATGATGCAGTCAAGGAGGGAATGGAGGTAGCAGTCAATGCAGGAATTAGTGTATTTTGTTTAAAAACTTATCTTTTGGTTTAGCACAACTTTTGTGCATTTGGATGTAATGGTTTAAAACTAATTTGTTGTAATGGTTTTATTTTGGTCTTTTATCCCTTTTGGTCATGAAACTAATGTCAACCTTTTGTCATTGTTGAAGAATGATGTTTATGGTTTATACCAACTGTTGGTTGTCATGTTTATGGAACACATTTTTGGTTATAAGAACTGTTTTCTGAAACAACAAATAAACATTAACATTCGGTGATAACTGCAATACATTGTCATTATATCCTTGAAAAGGTTACAAATTTCTGAAGTTGTCCAAAATAACCCTAAACTGATATTACATTATCAAATACCAAAAACTACCACATTCCCTTGTTACAATTTCATAAGACAAAAAACACCCAAAAATTACATGCAACTACAGGGGTCCCTAATTGCTTATTACTAAATGAAAAGCACCCAAACCACCACAAATAGTAACCAACTTGCAAACAAACACATCTTCAATCTTGCCACTTGATAGTTTACATTGTTGATATTCCTCAATAATCCGGGTATTATCAACATAGATCGTGCACACATGGGAGGATCAATCCATCCTAAGAATCGGCATCTGGAACCCTTCACATAAAAAAATAAACCCTAAACATGAGGGTGATTTTCCAAAATGAGGGTAAAATAGCAAAATCGAACACTTACCTTTTGAGGGCAGGAAAGAAACCTCCGACCAGGGTTTGCTGATGTCCAGGAGGTGCGAACCACCGCTTCCCTACCACAGAAACACATCACCATTTTAATTTTTGATCTCTAAGAAATTGTGAACACAGAGTAGGAAGAGTATGAAGCTCGTGAAGTTGAAGAAGGAAGAGTGATGTAGCTCTGCTTTTATTTTGAATAAGGTTGCAAAAAAGGTCCCTGTATGTGGAAAGACGAAAATACCCCGGTCTTTATTGCATGTAATGCAGTATATGGACGGAAGTGAATGGGAGGGACCAAAAACAATGGAAAAATCCAATTTTGAACCAGTGGTGCATCAAAGTATCGTTTTGGACCAAAGTCGCATAATTTTGCCAAACATAGGGACCATTTTTGCAATTTTGTCGTTTTCTTAATTATAAGTAGGATTTTGCTAAAACAAGCAAGTATATTATCATTTTCTTGGTTACCAACGTAGACGTTTCACAAAAGTGAAATGAGTGGCAATATAGCTATAAGTTTCTTGAATTTGGATGAGCATGATTTTCTTAAGATTTAAGAATTATCGTTTTAGGAAAAACAAATACAATTATGTGGTTATTTATGCGTTTTCAAATTTGGAGCATATGTTAATTTGTGCTAGAAAAAAGAAAATCGGTTTTTCTTAATATCCGCCATTATAAATCCAAATTAGTACAAAATGTATTTTAATAATGCTATGAGTATTTTTTTTTGGTGCAATGGTAAACCAAAACTGTCTTATTAAAATAAAAAAGTTTTAATAAAAAAGATAATGATTCAAAAAAGTAATGTATTTTTTGATTTTTATATATTTGATCACTGAGTTTTTTTTTTATTCATATTTACCAATCCAACTTGTTAAACTGTACACATTTAGTTATTATAACTGGTTACTTTAAGTTAAACTGTACACATTTAGTTATTATAACTGGTTACTTTAGGTTAACCGAAAAAAATGATATAATACAGTAATATATTTTTCATAATATACACATTTAGTCCATAATATTTTTGTACATATTTAGTCATTAACATTTTTTTGTTTCAAAATAAGTCTTTTTTGTGTACTCATTCAATAGTTATGAATGATTTATTTATGTTTTTCTCGCGATATCTTACGTGGTACAATCATTGATGAGGTGTTTGAGGTTGTTGATGTTTATATCCAACATGATCTCGACTGTTTGGTTGCGTAGGTCTTGTGGTTTGACTTAGGTTTTGTATTCTGAACGTCGTAACTTTTTCATACGATATCAGATTTTAACGATATTTATATTTATGTGTTCATTATTTCAATAAGATTACTTCGGTTAAAAAGTAATATACTGTTATTTACGATTTTACCAAAGAAAAAGAAAAGAACATCCGTACATGCATTCATAAAAAACGTATGGACAGCGGCAGACGTATGAATAAATAGTAGGTGTTTCCGAGATAAAATAGGTGTTACTAATATATGAAAAATAGGTATAAATGAAAAAATAATCGAAAATTCTTGCAGACAAAAAAAACAGGTGCTGCATGTGATATAAATATTCGTAAGTAAAAATATATTATTTATTAATCGGAGTAATCTCATCATTAAACAAACATTTTGCTCGAGTACTTCTAGTACTTGATACCTGGGTGTCATCCAAATAAACGTTTTTACCTAAAGAAACTACTAATAATCTGATGGAAGACTCTAAATGTGCTGCATTGATGTGCGACTGGAGCGCTTACTTACGAGGTGAAAATGGAGATATATTTGAGATCATCAAGAGAGCGATCATGGTGGCTGCTTCTGATCAACCAACGGAGTTCCAAAGTAGAAGACACAAGATTGCTCAGATTCTCTTCTCCAATGAGTTGATCAAGCACTACGAATGTGATAACTGTCAGAAACAGAGCCCAAAGGTAAGTCATGAAATGGAAGATGAAACAAAACTAGTTTCAGAGGTGTTAAGCAACTCTGTTCTGAGTAAGGAAGAAGTCTGGGAACGGAACAACAGCCATGGAAAGCCACCGATGGAGAAGCAAATCGTACCCACCTGCAAACAGCAACGGACGATGGCGAAGTGGAATACAGAAACGAAGTTCCAAATTCAAAAGGGTTCAGTGACTTCTGAAGAAAAAATTGACGATCTTGGGGATAATGAGGGAGTTGCTGAGGTCTTGAAGATCAAGAAGATTCTTGACAAGAGCGGAGATGAATCTCAATCTGAGTTGGTAGTGTGTGAGTTATTAAAGATGCTTCAGTCCATGGAGTTATCCATGAAAACTCTGAAGGCAACGATGATCGGGAGAACCGTCAGTGCTCTTAAAAAGCATTCATCAGAGAAAGTTTGCCGGATTGCAGCGACACTCATGAAATCATGGAAACGCAAAGTGGATGAATGGCTCAAGAAAGAATCAAACGATGTCAAACTAACGTCATCCCAGCAAGTAAAGCCAACGAATCTGAATATGAATGCGGAGAGGAAGTTGGAAGATTCAAAAAAAGTTTCAAAGATTGGAAATGGCGGAGTAATGGATTTGTTGGAGAGACTGGAAGCAGCAAATAGAAAACTGCAAGAAGGGTTTGAGATAGTAGAAAACATGCACAAGAAGCGACGAATACAAATGACAAGGTCCATGAACACAATAGAAGAAAGCTCTATGGGCGGTGCTTACTGTTTTCCACAGTTGTTTAATTAACAATTTCATTAGAGATTGATTCTTTGAATTTTCAGAACATGCTTAATGTATATAGTATATAGTAAGATAGTGATGTCATTTTCAAGTATATATCAATGAACTAATGTTCTTCTAAGGATTGTATCTGGTTTTGAATTTGCATGTGGTTTTCTTAATTATACGTAGGATTTTGCTAAAACAAGCAAGTATATTATCATTTTCTTGGTTACCACGTAGCGTTTCTCAAAAGAGAAATGAGTGGCAATATAGCTATAAGTTTCTTGAATTTGGATGAGCATGATTTTCTTAAGATTTAAGAATTATCGTTTTACGAAAAACAAATACAATTATGTAGTTATTTATGCGTTTTCAAATTTGGAGCATATATTAATTTGTTGCTAGAAAAAAGAAAATCAGTTTTTCTTAATATCTTCCGTTAGAAATCCAAATTAGTACAAAAACGTATTTTAATAATGCGATGAGTATTTCTTTTTTGGTGCAGTGGTAACCCAAAATGGGTTATTAAAAAGGATAATAACTTAAAAGAGTAATGTATTTTTCGATTTGTATATATTTAATCATTGAATTTTTTTTCGTCTACATTTATTCCTTCAACTTGTTAAACTATACATATTCAGTTCTTTATGACTGGTTACTTTAGGTTAACCGGAAAAAATAACATAATAGGGTAATATATTTTTTATATTGTACATATTTACTCCTTAATATTTTTATATATATTCAGTCATTAACATTTTTTTATTTCAAAATAAGTCTTTTTTGTGTACTCATTCAATACTTATGAATGATTTCTTTATATTTTTCTCGCGACATCTTATGTGGTACAATCATTAATGAGGTGTTTGGGGTTGTTGATGTTTATGTCCAACATGATCTCGACTGTTTGGTTGCGTAGGTCTTGTGGTTTGGCTTAAGTTTTGTATTCTGAACGTCGTAATTTCTTCATACGATATCAGATTTTAACGATTTTTATATGTATGTGTTCATTATTTCATTAAGATTACTCCCGATAAAACGTAATATACTATTATTTACAATTTAAAAAAAAAAAAAAAAAAAAAAAACACCCATACATGCATTCATAAAAAATGTATGGACAGGAGCAGACGCATGAATAAATAGTAGGTGTTTCCGAGATGAAATAGGTGTTACTGATACATGAAAAATAGGTATAAGTGAAAAAACAATCGAAAACGCTTCCACTGCAGACAGAAAAAACAGTTGTTGCAGATGCAACACCGGGACTAGGCTAAATCTGCCCCTGTGTATTGATATAAAAATCGTAAGTAAAATATATTATTTTTTTAATGGGAGTAATCTCAATAAAAGTGGCAGTAGACTGAAATACGAACGCATGGATATAAAGATTGTTCGCATGGATATAAAGCTCGTTAAAATTCGAGATCGTATGAAAAAGTTATGACATTCAGAACACATGACCTAAGCAACCAAGTAGTTGAGATCATGATGGACATAAGCATCAAAAGGCTCAAACACTTCATTAATGAATTTTCCATGTAAGATTTCATAAGAAAAACCTAAAGAAATCATTCATAAGTATTTAATGAGTACAAAAACAAAAATGACATATTTTGTAAAAAATAATTAAAAAACAAATTGCGGGCTAAATGTGTACAAATATATTACGGACTAAATATGTACAAAGTCGGAAATATATTACTTTATTAAATCATTTTTACCAGCTAACCTAAGAGTAGCCGATCATAAGAACTAAATGTGTACGATTTAACAAGTTG